TTATGGATATAGTCTATAGTGATATTAGCATCTAAAAACTGTATTTTAATTTCACGGGACCTGTAAGACGTTGTGGTCAGCCAACATTAGTGTTTGCTTTTGTGTTGACCTCTTTGTTTAGTGCATATTTATAACTGAATTATTTGTTTTCATTAACTCTCATTATAGCATGACGATCATCATCCAGTGTCTTCATCAGATCTGTGTATCAGAGCATCATGTGCTGCGGCTCAATTCACGTACTCTCCGATCTAAATTCATTCAGTTATTTTACTTCAGCTTAGTCTCTGATTTATCAGGGGTCACCACAGTGAAATGAACCGACAACTATTCCAGCATATATTTTATTTTATATTATTAATTATATTATTATTTTATATTTTACGCAGCTGATGCCCTTCCAGCTGCAACCCAGTACTGGGAAACACCCATACACTCACCCACACACACACACACACACACACACACTCATACACTACGGCCAATTTAGTTCATCAATTCCCCTATAGCGCATGTGTGTGGACTGTTAGGGAGACCGGAGCACCCGGAGGAAACCCACGCCAACACGGGGAGAACATGCAAACTCCACACAGAAACGCCAACTGACCCAGCCGGGACTCGAACCAGCGACCTTCTTGCTGTGAGGCGACAGTGCTAAACCACCATGCTGCCTAATACTTGACATATTAATGCCAAAATATGATGTTTTTAAATTGCATTAAGATGTAGTATAAGCGTGTGAATTGGGACGCAGCCGTGTTCTCATCATCTCACTGTAGTGCACTGACAGCATGTGCCTGAGCTCATACAGCACTCACTCATCCCTCTAACACTGATCATACATGAGCTGAGAAACGCCAGACACAACATCACTGCGGCTCTATAGCTGATCATACTGTGTGTGTGTGTGTGTGTGTGTGTGTGTGTGTGTGTGTGTGTGTGTGTAGAAGACACAGCCGAAGCCTGATGAAGAGGAGGAGGAGATCACAGACACTCAGCCAGACCCTCTGCATCAGCTGATCCTGCACTTTAGCCACAACGCACTGACGGAGCGCAGGTACACACACTCACACACACACACGGAGTGCAGGTACACGCATACACACAAGGCACTGCCAGAATGTACAAATAAACACACACAGAGAGAGTGTTGTGTAAGTTTGATGTGTTTGTGTCGTTGTTGTGTTGCAGTTCTCTAGAGGAGGATCAGCTCTACATCGCATATGCAGACATGATGGCAAAGGTGTGTGTGTCATAACTGCACATCATTATTAATGTGTAATATTCACTGCTGTATCGCCTAATACATAGATCCATATATAATTAATACCTATGATCAGTGGCGGCTCTAGTTTAAATAGCACCCTGGACGAACCACTCCATATCCATCTACACCTATATGCTAAGATCACGTAAGAAATCTTTACATGAATATTAAAGTCTATTCTATAGAATACAAACAATATGTGTGTTATGTAATTATCTGTTGTCTTAGACCCGACTCATGACTGAGAATTAATGTTGTTAAGACCCAACTCGACCCCTTAGCCCTTACCCCACCGCTTGTTTTGCACGTTCCCGTGAAGGGTTCGGGGTGTCCCAATTCTCTTTAGCTTGAAGGCGTGGCGCTAAGGGGAAGGGGTGAATACTGCAAAGTCTCTCCTATAATATCTTTACTGAAAGACAGAAAATATTACTGAATTGCAAGAAAAATCATAAATATTTTCATATTAGTCAGTAATATTACTGAAATGAATAAAATAACTGAATAAATATAAATGTACACACATTTACACGAGTAAATAAACAGAATCAATGATAGACTGAAAATCTGCATGCACAGATTCGGTGTGGGCCTAGCGATCGCCCGTATTGCCCATGCCTAAATCCACCACTGACTATGATCAACTGCTTTCAGATGTTACAGTACATCAGAGCATATAATATTGAATATTCCACACATAATTAACAGTAATTAACACTGAATAATGATTTAGACACAGTTTTGTCTGACTTATTTCAGTTTAATAAAGCATTTCTGCATTTCAGAGCAACACTGAGCTTTTCATGAATGAATCTATTTCTAAATGACTCATTTGATTCAGTGATTCAATGATTCATTCATAAAGACAAGAGCTGCGTCCCAAATGGCACACTATACACTATGCACTCATGCACTATGTACTTATGCACTTACACACTCAACAGGATAGTATATGTATGTAGTGTCGTCCCAAATGGCACACTAATGTTTTTTTACTAAGCGGAAATTCAAACCGTTTCCCTGATGACGTTTGACTGTTGCCAAATCAGTGAAATAAACGACTGAATTATCAAATAATACCTGCCGTGAGTATAACCGCATTCACCATCGGGAGGCGCTATAATCACTCTTGTAGGAGAATTTTGCTTTCACCATCCAAAATAAATAAAGTTATTCAACATGTGCGTCAGATAGCTCCGCCCCTTCCGCTACGTAAGCAAACCTGCGGTCGTTGAGTGTGTGAAGTGTCCATCATTACACACTTCATTTTAGCGGCTGAATGAGTGCATCATCCGGGTAATTAAAGTGCACTTATTATTTTGAGAGTTTTCAATGTGAACACACTACTTACACTATTTATACTACAAAATGGCGTAAAATAGTGCATAAGTATGCGATTTGGGACGCAGCTACTCACTTACTGTTTTGAATGAATCAATTGAACAAATAATTCAGTGAATCATTTATTAAGACAGGGAATTGCAGACCTACTGAAAGCCACGTGTATATTGTCATAGAGAGAGAGAGAGAGAGAGAGAGAGAGAGAGAGAGGGTTCTGAACTTTGCTGTTCTTCATTTATAGAGCTGTGCTGAAAACGAGGAAGAGGAGGAGGAGGAAGACAAAGAGAAAACATTTGAGGTGAGAAGAGGCCAAATATGAGACTAACAGGAGACAGACACTGCGATCCTGATGTGTGTGTGTGTGTGTGTGTGTGTGTGTGTGTGTGTGTGTGTGTGTGTGTGTGTGTGTGTGTGTGTGTGTGTGTGTGTGTGTGTGTGTGTGTGTGTGTATGTATGTGTGTGAGATCAGGAGAAGGAGATGGAGAAGCAGAAGACTCTCTATCAGCAGGCCAGACTTCATGACAGAGGAGCAGCAGAGATGGTCTTACAGATGGTCAGCGCTAGTAAAGGTACACACACACACACACACACACGCAGATCCATCATCATCATCACTATCACTGAGTGTGTGTGTGTGTGTTTTAGGACGTCTGGATCCGATGGTGACGTTCACACTGAAGCTGGGCATCTCCATCCTCAACGGAGGAAACATCGTGGTCCAGCAGGTCAGACTCTAAGATCTCATTATTCCAGACTAACTCAAGGAAACCAGGCTTTCTCCAGAAGAAGAACAGAAGAGGAAACACTGAGAAATCTCCTGCAAGCACCTTAAGCAGAAGCTCGAGCAGAAGAAGATATTCTATACTGCTCCATTTCATTATATTCCTGTTTATTTCATTCCATTCTGTTCTGTTCTTCTTTATTCTGTTTTATTCTGTATTCTACTCCATTCCATTTAATTCTATTATTTTATTCTATTTTATTCTATTCCGTCCTATTCTGTTACTTTAGTTTATTCCACTCTATTCTATTCCATTCCATTAATTCTATTTTTTACATTTTTTTGTTTTACTCATTTTATTATATTCTTTTATTCTATTTTCTTCTAGTCTATTCTATCCTGTTCTATTATTTTTATTCTATTCCAGTCTATTGTATTCCATTCCATTTAATTCTCTACTTTTTATTCTTTCTTTCATTCTATTCTATTCTATTCCATTTCAGTCCATCATATTCTGTTCTTTTCATTTAATACTAGTCTATTCTATACCATTCCATTTAAATATATTATTTTTAATTATTCTTTTATTTTATTTTAGTTCATTGTTTTTTTTATTTCATTTTATCCTATTATTTCTTTTTATTTTATTCTACTCTATTCTATTCCATTTCATTTAAATCTATTCTTTTTATTATTTCTTTCATTATATTATATTATATTATATTATATTATATTATATTATATTATATTATATTATATTATATTATATTATATTATATTATTTTGTATTATATTATATATTATATATTTTATATTTTATTTTGTTATATTATATATTTTATCTTATATATTTTATTATATATTATATTATATTGTATTATATTATATAATTTATATTATTTTATGTTATTTTATATATTTTATTATATTATATATTTTATTAAATATATTTATATTATATTATATTATATTATATTATATTATATTATATTATATTATCCTACTCTATTCCTATTCTATTCTGATCTATTACACCCTATTCTTTTTATTTAATCCACTCTATTCTATTCCATTCCATTTAAATATATTGTTTTTTTTTCTTTCTTTCATTCTGTTCTATTCAATTTAATTCTATCCTCTTCTATTATTTGTATTCTATTCCAGTTTATTGTATTCCATTCCATTTATTCTTTTCTTTTTATTCTATTCTATTCTTTCCTATTCTATAATTTTTTTTTATTCCATTCTTTTCTTTTCTTTTCTATTCTATTCTATTCTATTCCATTCCTTTTAAATATATTCTATTTTTATTATGTTCTATTCTATTCCATTTAATTATATTCTTTTTATTCTTTCATTCTATTCTGATCTATTCTACTCCATCCTATTCTATTTTTTTATTCTATGCCAGTCTATTTTATCCATTCCATTAATTATATTATTTTCATTCTTTTTTTATTCTTTTCTATTCTATTCTATCCTATTCTATCCTATTCTATTCCATTGTATTATTTCTTTCATTGTATTCTTTTCTATTCTATTCTGTTCTATTCTGTTCTATTCTATTCCATTGTATTATTTCTTTCATTATATTCTTTTCTATTCTATTCAATTCTATTCTGTTCTATTCTATTCAATTCTATTCTATTCTGTTCTATTCTATTCAATTCTATTCTATTCTGTTCTATTCTATTCAATTCTATTCTATTCTATTCTATTCTATTCTATTATTTATTTTATTATATTCTTTTCTGTTCAATTCTATGCCATTTCAGTTAATTCTGTTCTTTTTGTTATTTTCTGTTGAATTCTGTTCTTCTCTCCTGTACAGAAAATGCTGGACTATCTGAAGGAGAAGCGAGACGTGGGTTTCTTCAAGAGTCTGTCAGGACTGATGCAGTCGTGCAGGTCATTCTCACTCTTTGCGTTTACATGCTCATTACATTATAATTCAGAATTAACCCTTACAGTAGATGTTGATGAACCAACAAAAAGATCTATCCGAGTAAAGTGTGTATATTTTTACAATTAATCGAAAATTGTTGGGGTCACATAGACATTATATTTCTGTGTTTCTGCAGTGTTCTGGATCTGAATGCATTCGAGCGTCAGAATAAGGCGGAGGGATTGGGGATGGTGACGGAGGAGGGATCCAGTAAGTCACACACAAGCACACACACACACAGACAGACAGACACACACTCATTCACACACATATATTTCACACAGATGTTTTAATGAGACTCATGGTGTGTGCGCGCGTGTGTGTGTGTTTGAGGAGCTGTTAGAGAAACTCGTACACTCATCATCATCATCATCATCGTCTAATACTGCACTGTGAGCTTCACTAATGCACAAAACAGCAGAAATGACACACAATACTCGAGTTATGAAGATATCTCTTTAATAAGTTTAAAAACAAATCTATAAAATGATCAGTTTTTTGAAGGGCTTTTTTTAAATCTATCTACAATGTAAATGAGCCATTTTCTGTGCAAACATGTAAATGATTCAGTGATTCATTCATGAAGACATGCTTGCTTTGTTTCTTAATGAATCAGCTGTTTTGAATGAATCATTTGAATGGATGACTCAGCGAATCACTCATTAAGACGAGTGACGAATCTTTATATCAGGTGCCATGTTCAAGGCTTAAAGTAGCTCCTAATTTGCAGATTTAAGAGAAAGTCTTTAAAATAATGCTGTTGGTGCTAAATGTAGCACTCCTACATGTTTGTTTTAGAGTTAGAGCTAGCTGCTAGATCAGTGAAACATTAGCAGTAGTGAAGAAAACACTTAAAGGTGCTGTATGTACTCTTGTAAAGCATGAAAACAGGATCATGTGTGTGCAGATGTTCAGAAGCGTGCTCAGTCATGCCTGTTTATCTGAAACACACTGCTGAAGTCAGATATTCTGCTGTGAACATGTGTGTTACGTGCCGGAGCAGCTGTCTTTGTTTTGGTCTCTTTAACCCGCCCACTGCCAGTTTAGCCAATTATATTTCAGCAGCCTGGGTTGCCAGATTGTGGAAAACTTCGTATTTCATTCAGTCAGTCAGGAAGACTCTCACAGTGTGCGTCTGTGACTGAAATGCGCCCTCTGGTGGACAGTAGCAGACTCTGAAATGAGACGCAGATTCAGAGTTCCACATAAGGTGGTTATTAATTAGCAAATAATATAAATATTATGAGTGTAAACATTAGGTCAGCAGACTACGCTTTAACCTAACTACACGCTATGTGATGAGAGTGTTAAGCAATTGGGCTGTTTGCAGCAGACAAAACACATGTAAACACAGCCATACAGAAGCACAGAATAGCACACTCACTGCACTCCAGCACAATGATGAGCTTTATAATCTAATGAAGACATATTAAAGTTCTTGAACAATATTAATGTGGATGCTGAATCACTGATATGTGTTGGTTTGCACTGAGTCTCTGAAGTTCAGTTTCAGACGCTTTATTGATTCTCCAGATCTGAGCTGAACTCTCTGCTGCTGCTGCTGTCAGTTGTATGGCGATAAATTACATGTAAAACTCACATTATTAGTGTTTAACACTGAATAAAGCACATGAGAGAAATAGAAACTGTTTCTAATATATGCATTTCTGGTGTTGGTTAGGACAAAAACCTTTTAATACCACTTAACACAATTTAAATCAGCCTTTAGGCTCGGTAGTCAGGCTCACTCCTGTTGGTGTCGTCAATCTAACAACCTGCACTTGCATATGTTTTAAAGCAGGTGTGCAATACCTGTGCAATACATATTTGATCATTTTAATGTATTTTTCTAAACATATTTTTTAAATATTTAAAAGCATTAAAATATGTATTTGTTTAATTATTTTCTAAGATAACAAAAAAATCTATATTTATTGTCCTTAATATTAAAAGCAAAGCAACTGTCATTTTAGTGCATTTCTTCACTTATCCTGCGTCTTTATTTGAATGTGAATTGTATTTGTATTTTTAAACCTTTGAAATATTTGTATTTTCAAGGGAGACCGCTTAGGATGAAATGTTTTGTGTGCATCTGTTGATGTTTATTGCTCCTGGTGCAGTATTGCAGTCTCTAACTCATGTATTTTCAGTTATGTTCACTCATATTTACCTTCACATCTTCATAAACGCACACAGTAATGTTTCTCTTTCCTGTTCATTTAATTCATTTCTTTAGTATAGTTCATTTAAACGTATTGTTCATTATTTATTTTTTCTGAATCATTTGGCTTGTATTCACTGAATCGTTTGATTCATGGTTCCTGCTCACTGAATCGTTTGATTCATTTTTTGCGGAATCATCTTATTTCATAATTCAGGTTCACTAAATCTTTTTATTCATAGTTTATGTTAACTGAATAATTTGGTTCGTATTTACTGAATCTTTTGGTTCATAGTTCATGTTTTCTGAATCGTTTATTTTATTTTTGCTGAATCGTTTGGTTCATAAATCATATTCACTGAATCGTTTGATTCATATTCATGATTACTGAATTGTTTGGTTCATTTTTCGCTGAATTCCTTTATCTCATAATTTGAGTTCACTTACTTTTTTGGTTCATAATTTATGTTCACTGAATCTTTTGATTCATAGTTCATGTTCAATGAATTGTTTGGTTCATTTTTCATTTGTCAATCATTTGGTACATAGTTTATGTTAACTGAATCATTGGGTTTGTGTTCACTTAATCTTGTGGTTCATAGTTCATGTTCACTGAATCATTTAATACATAATTTATGTTCACTGAATCTTATGATTTATAGTTTATGTTAACTGAATCATTTGCTAAATAGTTTGTTAACTGAATCATTTGGTTTGTGTTCACTAAATCGTTTGGTTCATAGGTTATGTTCACTGAATGGTTTGGTTCATATTCTCTGAATCGTTTGGTTCATAGTTCATGGTAACTGAATCATTTGGTTTATTTTTTCTAAATCGTTTATTTTTAAAATTCATTGTTAACTTAATCTTTTGGTTCATAGTTCATGTTCACTGAATGATTTGATTCATAATTTATGTTTACTGAGTCATATGGTTCGTAGTTTATGTTAACTGATTCATTTGGTTTGTATTCACTAAATCATTTGGTTCATGTTTATTGAATCAGTTGGTTAATTTTTTATTTTCTCTGAATTGTTTGATTCATATTCACTGAATCGTTTGGTTTATTGTTGAATCATTTTATTTCATAATTCTTGTTCACTTTATATTTTGGTTCATAGTTCATGTTCATGGAATCATTTAATTTATAATTCATGTTCACTGAACTGTTTGGTTCATAGATCATGTTCACTGGATCGTTTGGTTCATAGATCATGTTCACTGAATCGTTTGGTTCATAGTTTGTTTGCTGAATCGTTTGATTCATTGTCATGTGGTTCAGGCATAAGTGATGGTGATGTCTCCAAATCTGCTGTCAGTGTCAGTATCTCTGGTTCTTCTGGAAGTTTCCGTGTCTTCTCCTTTGCTTATGTCTGCTGTTTTTCTATGTTGATTTCTTTCTTCTTGTCATTCTTTTGTCATCGGTGGCAGTCAACGTGAGGGAGCGCGGTAAATACACGGTTCAGATTCTCTCTGTGTGCCATCGCTGCTCCTGTCTGTCTGTCTGTCTGTCTGTCTGTTCTGTCTGTGTCTGAATGCGTGTCTGCAGGACTCCAGTGCATGTGTCATGTCACAGGAAGTGAACTTCTCTGACTTCCTTCTGATCCTCCTTTCTGTCTGTCTCTTTATCTCTCTCCTGTATTTCTCGCTCATCTTCCTAATCTTAATATATTCTGTGTGTGCAAATAATGTTCAACTCCTCCAACAAGCAAAGTTTGAAGGATGTTTGTTTGTAGAAAGATGCATAGCTGTGATCTAACCTTAACAGTGTGCTTTATTTCCATCTCCATGTGTTTATAAGTCAGGATGCTCAAACTCGGGTTTGTTATTTCATGAAAAAAACAACAACAAAATGTTGTTTTAAAAATACAAAACAATCAGACCATTAAAAACCAGGAAAGAATACAAAACCAGTATTAAGAGGGAATGTGAGGTGATCAAATACAAGTGTTCACAACCTAGCCTAGTGACAGCCTAGCAACCACTCAGAACACCATCGTGACTGTATAGCGACAGCCTAGTGACCACTCAAAATACCACCGTGACTGTATAGCAACAGCCTAGTAAGCACTCAGAACACCACCGTGACTGTATAGTTACAGCCTAGTAACCACTCAAAATACCACCGTGACTGTATAGCAACAGCCTAGTGACCACTCAAAACACCACCGTGACTGTATAGCAACAGCCTAGTGACCACTCAAAACACCACCGTGACTGTATAGCAACAGCCTAGTAACACTTATAACAACACTGCCTCTGTATACCGACAGCCTAGTGACCACTCAGAACACCACCGTGACTGTATAGCAACAGCCTAGTAAGCACTCAGAACACCACCTTGATTGTTTAGCAACAGCCTAGTAAACACTCAGAACAACACTGCAACTGTACACTGACAGCCTATTAATACTTATAAAACACTGCGACTGTATACCGACAGCCTAGTAACCACTCAAAACACAACCGTGACTGTATAGCAACAGCCTAGTGACCACTCAGAACACCACCGTGACTGTATAGCAACAGCCTAGTGACCACTCAGAACACCACCGTGACTGTATAGCAACAGCCTAGTAACACTTATAACAACACTGCAACTGTATACCAACAGCCTAGTAACCACTCAGTACACCACAATGACTGTATAGCAACAACTTAGTAACCACTCAGAACACCACCGTGACTGTATAGCAACAGCCTAGTAACACTTATAACAACACTGCAACTGTATACCAACAGCCTAGTAACCACTCAAAACACCACCGTGACTGTATAGCAACAGCCTAGTAACACTTGTAACAACACTGCAACTGTACAGCGACAGCCTAGTAACCACTCAGTACACCACCGTGACTGTATAGCAACAACTTAGTAACCACTCAGAACACCACCGTGACTGTATAGCAACAGCCTAGTAACACTTATAGCAACACTGCAACTGTATACCAACAGCCTAGTAACCACTCAGTACACCACCGTGACTGTATAGCAACAGCCTAGTAACCACTCAGAACACCACTGTGACTGTATAGCAACAGCCTAGTAACACTTATAACAACACTGCAACTGTATACCGACAGCCTAGTAACCACTCAAAACACCACCATGACTGTATAGCAACAGCCTAGTAACCACTCAGAACACCACCATGACTGTATAGCAACAGCCTAGTAACACTTAGAACAGTACTACGATTGTTTACCGATAGCCTAGAAACCATTCAGAACACCACCGTGACTGTATAGCAACGGCCTAGTAACCACTCAGAACACCACCGTTACTGTATTGCAACAGCCTAGTAACACTTAGAACAGCACTACGACTGTATACCGACAGCCTAGTAACCATTCAGAACACCACAGTGACTGGATAGCAACAGCCTAGTAACCACTCAAAACACCACCGTGACTGTATAGCGACAGCCTAGTAAGCACTCAAATCCCCACCATGACTTTGTAGCAACAGCGTAGTAACACTCAAAACAACACTGTGACAGTATAGTGACAGCCTAGTAACCACATAAAATAGCCTAGTAACCACTCAGAACACCACCGTGACTGTATAGTAACAGCCTAGTAACCACTCAGAACACCACCGTGACTGTGTACCGACAGCCTAGTAACCACTCAGAACATCACCATGACTGTATAGCAACAGCCTAGTAACTACTCAGAACACCACCATGATTGTATAGCAACAGCCTAGTAACCACTCAGAACAACACTGTGGCTGTATACCAACAACCTAGTAACCCCTCAGAACACCATGACTGTATTGTGACAGCCTGGTTACCACATAAAGATAGCCTATAGTAACCACTCAGAACACCACAATGACTGTAGAGCAACAGCCTAGTATAATGACATAAAACAGACTAGTTACCACTTAAAACACCCTAGCAACTGTACAAAACATCACCACTGCATAGCAACAGCCTAATGACTACTAAAGCATACAAAACTTATCAAAATACCACAATGACTGTATAGCAACACCCTAGCAACCACTCAAAACACCTCAGCAGCTCCATTGCAACAGCCTAGTAACCACTCAACCAGCCTAGTCTTCAGAATTCCACATTGACTGTATAACTACACCGTAGCAACCACTCAAAACACCACAGTAAAATCATAGCAACGGCTTAGCAACCACTCAAAACACCATTGCGAGTTCTACTATATCCTAGGTGTCTAAATAATGTTCAATTCTTTCAACAAACAAGTCTGATTATTATTATTGTTTGTAGAAAGATGCAGTAAACTAACCTTAAAGCATGCTTTATTTACATTTCCATGTTGTTATAATTCAGGTTTTTCCAAATGGGGGTTTGTTATTGGATGGAGAAGAACAGTTTAAATGTCAAATCCAATGAAATGTATTGACAGAATGAGCAGTGATCAATACAGCACTAGAACATTATCCTTGAGAGCATGTAGCAGTAATAACAGTGACTATTTAAACTAACCCATTAACACTGTATGCTAATCAATAGCCAGATGATGGTTTCAGTTACTCTGTATAATCTACTGCTTTTACCTTGATCACATGATTAATCAGCCCTTCCAGGATTAAACGAGACTAAAATGAATTTCGTGTTGAGTTTTCGGACGTTTTGTGGAATTTCTTTCATTATATTGCTGTAAAAATATACACACAAATACACAACTTAATTCATTAATGATGTTTTAGTGAATTATCTAAACAATTATTTTTAAGGCATCATTGAGAATTTAGTTTTGTAAATGTGTGTAAACATATATTTATTCAGTTGTTATATTCATTTACCACAGCGGAATGAACCGCCAACTATTCCAGCAAATATTTTACACAGTGGATGCCCTTCCAGCTGCAACCCTGTACTGGGAAACACTCATAGATACTCATTCTCACACACACACTCATACACTACGGCCAGTTTAGTTGATCAATTCCCCTATAGCGCATGTGTTTGCAGGGCCGGCGCGTCCATAGAGGCAACCTAGGCGGCCACCTAGAGCGGCAGAATAGAGAGGGTGGCGTCACCGACACTACCATCACCTCTTGCGCCCTCACCCCAAGACCCTCACTTTAGGGTCTAGGGCGGCGTCCGCAACACTACCCTCACCATCCGCACCCTTAATTATATCCGCGCCTAGGGCGGCAGAATAGAGAGGGCAGCGTCCGCGACACTACCCTCACCATCCGCACCCTTAGTTATATCCGCGCCTAGGGCGGCAGAATAGAGAGGGCAGCGTCCGCGACACTACTCTCAGCACCCACGCCCTCAGTTATATCCGCGGCTAGGGCTGTGTTTGCGACACTACCCTCAGCACCTGCGCCCTAAGTTATATCCACGTCTAGGCAGGCATTTGCGACACTACCCTCAGCACCCGCTCCCTCAGTTATATCCGCGGCTAGGGCGGTGTTTGCGACACTACCCTCAGCACCCGCTCCCTCAGTTATATCCGCGGCTAGGGCGGTGTTTGCGACACTACCCTCAGCACCCGCTCCCTCAGTTATATCCGCGTCTAGGCCGGTATTCGCGACACTACCCTCAGCACCCATGCCCTCAGTTATATCTGCGTCAAGGGCAGCGTCCGCAAAACTACCCTCACCACTTGCACCCTTAGTTATATCCGCATCTAGGGCGGCAGAATAGAGAGGGTGGCGTCCGTGAAACTACCCTCAACACCGCGCACCTCAGTTATATCGGCTTCTAGGGCGCTGTTTGCGACACTACCCTCACCACCAACTGCATCAGTTATATCCGCGTCTAGGGCAGCTTTCACGACACTACCCTCAGCACCCGTGCCCTCAGTTATATCCGCGTCTAGGGCGGCAGAATAGAGAGGGCGGCGTCCTTGACAGCTCCCTCACCACATGCACCCTCAGTTATATCCAGGTCTAGGGCGGCATTCGCGACACTACCATCACCACCTGCACCCTTAGTTAGATCTGCGCCTAGGGTGGCAGAATAGAGAGGGCGGCGTCCGCGACACTACCCTCACCACCCATGCCCTCATTTATATCCTCGTCTAGGGCGGCATTCGCGACACTACCCTCACCACCCACGGGATCAGTTATATCTGTGTCTAGGGCGGCGTTCGCGACACTACCCTCAGCACCCGTGCCCCCAGTTATATCCGCGTCTAGGGCGGCAGAATAGAGAGGGCGGCGTCCGCGACAGCTCCCTCACCACCTGCGCCCTCAGTTATATCCACGTCTAGGGCGGCGTTCGTGACACTACCCTCAACACCCGCGCCCTCAGTTATATCCACGTCTAGGGTGGCAGAATAGAGAGGGCGGTGTCCACGACAGCTCCTTTAACACCTGCGCCCTCAGTTATATCTGCGTCTAGGTCGGCGTCTGCGACACGACCCTCACCACCCGAGCCCTCAGTTATATCCGCGTTTAGGGCGGCAGAATATTGAGGGTGGCGTCCGCGAAAGGTCCCTTGACATCAACCGCCCCAACCTGCTTTCACTTTAGGGTTTTGCCCTCCAATAGACAACAACAGGGTAGGCGACATCTAATGTATATATCTATGGGAACCACTTCTTAAACTGCATCCAAAATGGCTGACATACAAATGAGGACATTTTATGGGAAGGAGAGAGGTATGTAAAAATGCATTTTTTAACTATTATTATTACATTTATTCAATTCAATTTCAATTCAGCTTTATTTGTATAGCGCTTTTACAATGTAGATTGTGTCAAAGCAGCTTCACATAAATGTTCATAGTAACTGGATCAGGGTAGTTCAGTTTTTAGTGTTTAAGTTCAGTTCAGTTTAGCTCAGTTCAGTGTGATTTAGATTAGACTAGATATTCTTCAAGACACTTCTATACAGCTTACAGTGACATTTAAAGGCTTCACTAGGGTAATTAGCGTAACTAGGCAGGTTAGGGTAATTAGGCAAGTTGTTGTATAACGACGGTTTGTTCTGTAGATCAGGGGTTTTCAAACAAGTTTGGCCAATTTCACTCGCACCCCTCCTCAAATACCCCCCGATTAAGGCCCCCCACCCCACCCCAAACCGCACGCCAAAATTATAATGCATGTGCAAACATCATGCACATATTACTTACTGTGTTTAAAGTGCGTAGCGTTAACACAACATACATTGAAACATAAATATATCTGATTCAGTGTGATGGCTGAGCCTGCTTCTGTGAGGACAGCGTGGTTGGATTCCTGACAAGAACTAACCGTAAATCATCTTCCACTGTCAATGAGCGTGAGCCATAGGATACTTGCTTTTGATGTACAAACATACAGAAAAGCAGCTGATGTACAAGATCGCAGAGCCCTGACGGTGTGGTTGAGTCGAGCATTGAGTATGTTTACATGGGCAACAATACTTTAATACAATTTTAATATGAGTCTACCGTGTAAACAGCCATTTTTGATGAACTTAATCAGACTAAAGTCATCACTGAACTAAACAGAAATGTAATTAAGACATGTGGAGTCTGCAGATATTAGTGGAGTTATTAAAGTAAACACCACAATCAAACTATTACCATGTAAAATACTATTATCATGTAATGTTAAGACTTTTGCCGTATTTTCCCACACACAGTAATGCCAGATGTAGCTGACTGATTCCAGCCCAAAAATATTCAAAACCTGCCGAAATGCAAAAATACCCGCCCATATTTAATTTATTTATCGTGGGTTTTTTTGTTACTATACTCCTAAAATCGGGAGGCATGGTGGTTCAGTAGTTGGCACTGTGGCCTCACAGCAAAAAGGTCGCTCGGCTGGTTCGAGTCCCAGTTGGTGTTTCTGTGTGGAGTTTGCATGTTCTCCCCGTGTTGGCGTTGGTTTCCTCCGGGTGCTCCGGTTTCCCCCACAATCCAAAAACACATGCGCCATAGGGGAACTGATCAACTAAATTGGCTATAGTGTATGAGTGTGTGTGTGAATTAGTGTGTATGGATGTTTCCCAGTACTGGGTTACAGCTAGAAGGGCATCCACTGCATAAAACATATGCTGGAATAGTTGGCGGTTCATTCCCCTATGGTGATCCCTAATAAATTAAGGCTTTGCACAATGGTTGAGCAGATTTTATTTGCGACTACTGGAAAGCTTTGCAGACAGCGCTCTGTGGTGCGGCTGGAGTTTCCACAGTGCCCTGACCAGTGTCCACAAACTGCAGGAAATCTGTGTCTAAAAATTATATAAAAATGCTTTATTATTTGGCTTGATTTTGCGTTAAATTCATCAGTCGTAGACTCACAAAATCCTGGAGGGTCTGAGTAATGAGGTGTAGTGTGTTTCTGATGGTCGGGGCTCATAGACAGATTCTCAGTGGTGGTGTCAGATCTCTGCTGAAGAGCCCTGTCTGAGCTGTGTGTGTGTTTCCCTCAAAGGCTCTAAAGTCCTGCAGAACGACGAGTTCACCAAAGATCTGTTCAGGTTCCTGCAGCTCCTGTGTGAAGGACACAATAATGGTGAGAAATCACATCACATCTCGATCACACAAACAAATGATCTTCTTCACAAGTAATGCCTGTGTTATATGATGCCCTTGTTTTAGATTTCCAGAACTTTCTCAGAACACAGACGGGAAACACGACCACGGTGAACATTATCATCAGCACGGTGGACTATCTGCTCCGACTACAGGTACACAGTAACCTAGCAACCACTCAAAACATCACAGCGACCACAGAAAGACAGCCTATCAACCACTTAAAACATTATAGCGACCACAGAAAGACAGCCTAGTAACCACTTAAAACATCATAGCGACCACAGAAAGACAGCCTAGTAACCACTCAAAACACCACAGCGACCTCAGAAAGACAGCCTATCAACCACTTAAAACATTATAGCGACCACAGAAAGACAGCCTAGTAACCACTTAAAACATCATAGCGACCACAGAAAGACAGCCTAGTAACTACTCAAAACACCATAGTGACCTCATAGCAACAGCCTAGCAACCACTCAAAACACCACAGTGACCACTGAAAGACAGCCTATCAACCACTTAAAACATTATAGCGACCACAGAAAGACAGCCTAGTAACCACTCAAAACATCACAGCGACCACAGAAAGACAGCCTAGTAACCACTTAAAACACCACAGCGACCTCAGAAAGACAGCCTAGTAACCACTCAAAACATCACAGCGACCACAGAAAGACAGCCTAGTAACCACTTAAAACACCACAGCGACCTCAGAAAGACAGCCTAGTAACCACTCAAAACATCACAGCGACCACAGAAAGACAGCCTAGTAACTACTCAAAACACCATAGTGACCTCATAGCAACAGCCTAGCAACCACTCAAAACACCACAGCGACCACAGAAAGACAACCTAGTAACCACTCAAAACACCACAGCGACCTCAGAAAGACAGCCTAGCAACCACTTAAAACATCATAGCGACTACAGAAAGACAACCTAGTAACCACTCAAAACACCACAGCGACCTCAGAAAGACAGCCTAGCAACCACTTAAAACATCATAGCGACTACAGAAAGACAACCTAGTAACCACTCAAAACACCACAGCGACCTCAGAAAGACAGCCTAGCAACCACTTAAAACATCATAGCGACTACAGAAAGACAACCGAGTAACCACTCAAAACACCACAGCGACCTCAGAAAGACAGCCTAGCAACCACTTAAAACATCATAGCGACCTCAGAAAGACAGCCTAGTAACCACTCAAAACATCACAGCGACCACAGAAAGACAGCCTAGCAACCACTCAAAACATCACAGCGACCTCAGAAAGACAGCCTAATAACTACTCAAAACACCATAGTGACCTCATAGCAACAGCCTAGCAACCACTCAAAACACCACAGTGACCACAGAAAGACAGCCTAGTAACCACTCCAAACATCACAGCGACCACAGAAAGACAGCCTAGCAACCACTCAAAACATCACAGCGACCACAGAAAAACAACCTAGTAACCACTCAAAACATCATAGCGACCACAGAAAGACAACCTAGTAACCACTCAAAACATCATAGCAACCACAGAAAGACAGCCTAGTTATCACTCAAAACATCATAGCGACCACAGAAAGACAGCCTAGCAACTACTCCAAACATCACAGCGACCACAGAAAGACAGCCTAGCAACCACTCAAAACATCACAGCGACCACAGAAAGACAGCCTAGCAACCACTCCAAACATCACAGCGACCACAGAAAGACAGCCTAGCAACCACTCCAAACATCACAGCGACCACAGAAAGACAGCCTAGTAACCACTCAAAACATCACAGCGACCACAGAAAGACAGCCTAGCAACCACTCCAAACATCACAGCGACCACAGAAAGACAGCCTAGTAACCACTCAAAACATCACAGCGACCACAGAAAGACAGCCTAGCAACCACTCCAAACATCACAGCGAGCACAGAAAGACAGCCTAGCAACCACTCCAAACATCACAGCGACCACAGAAAGACAGCCTAGCAACCACTCCAAACATCACAGCGACCACAGAAAGACAGCCTAGCAACCACTCCAAACATCACAGCGAGCACAGAAAGACAGCCTAGCAACCACTCCAAACATCACAGCGACCACAGAAAGACAGCCTAGCAACCACTCCAAACATCACAGCGACCACAGAAAGACAGCCTAGCAACCACTCAAAACACCACAGCGACCACAGAAAGACACCACAGTGACTACATAGCAACAGCCTAGTAAGCCTTTAAAACGGTACAACTGCATAGCAACTACCTAGTAACCACTCAAAACATTAACAACTCGAAATACCTCAGCATTCATACAGTAACAGTCTAGTAACCAGTCAGAACACCACAGCATGCTTGTTTTTGTTGTGTCTGCTGTGTTTATAGCGATGTGTGTTTGTGTATTTCTGTGTTTGGTGTGTGTATAGTGATGTTGTGCTGTTGTTTGCAGGAGTCCATCAGTGATTTTTACTGGTATTACTCTGGTAAAGATGTGATGGACGAGGCCGGTCAGCGTAATTTCTCCAAAGCTCTCGCTGTGGCCAAACAGATCTTCAACTCACTCACCGAATACATCCAGGTAACACCGAGACCAGCAGTACACACTCGTTTCTGTTGTTTTACTGACAGGTGTATCTGTATTATTTAACGTTTTGTTATTTAACAATATTGTATGCATGTTTAGATTTCTTTGTGTTTTACAGCATTTGCACTTTTATTGATATTTTAGTTTGTATTATGCATATTGCAATGGTATTATATTGTATATATGTAGCCATGCTTTTGTGTTTTGTGAACAGCTAAAGCTCTTGGATGCTGCTTTTAACATTGTTTTAGATGTAAAGCTCCTGCATCTTGTGTGTGTGTCAGGGTCCGTGCATCGGGAACCAGCAGAGTTTGGCCCACAGCAGACTCTGGGACGCCGTTGTTGGATTTCTGCATGTCTTCGCTAACATGCAAATGAAGCTTTCACAGGTATGTTAGACAATCACTAGCTATGTTTCCATCCAAGGATGCTAAGTAATCTAATGTGGAAACTGAAATATTGCATAAATCATTTGTGAATACAACAGCGTTTCCAGTCAGTGAGAAACAGAGGTGGAGAAAATATAAATGTGTGTGTGAGGGTCTTTGTGTCATTAATGTTGGTCTGCAGATATAAATGTGTGTGTGAGGGTCTTTGTGTCATTAATGTGGCTCTGCAGATATAAATGTGTGTGTGAGGGTCTTTGTGTCAGTAATGTTGGTCTGCAGATATAAATGTGTGTGTGAGGGTCTTTGTGTCAGTAATGTTGGTCTGCAGATGTAAATGTGTGTGTGAGGGTCTTTGTGTCATTAATGTTGGTCTGCAGATATAAATGTGTGTGTGAGGGTCTTTGTGTCAGTAATGTTGGTCTGCAGATATAAAGGTGTGTGTGAGGGTCTTTGTGTCATTAATGGTAGTCTGCAGATGTAAATGTGTGTGTGAGGGTCTTTGTGTCATTAATGTTGGTCTGCAGATATTAATGTGTGTGTGAGGGTCTTTGTGTCAGTAATGTTGGTCTGCAGATATTAATGTGTGTGTGAGGGTCTTTGTGTCATTAATGTTGGTATGCAGATATAAATGTGTGTGTGAGTGTCTTTGTGTCTGTAATGTTGGTCTGCAGATATTAATGTGTGTGTGGGGGTCTTTGTGTCTGTAATGTTGGTCTGCAGATATAAATGTGTGTGTGTGAGGGTCTTTGTGTCATTAATGTTGGTGTGCAGGTATTAATGTGTGTGTGAGGGTCTTTGTCTCTGTAATGTTGGTCTGCAGATATTAATGTGTGTGTGGGGGTCTTTGTGTCATTAATGTTGGTATGCACATATAAATGTGTGTGTGAGGGTCTTTGTGTCATTAATGTTGGTCTGCAGATATTAATGTGTGTGTGAGGGTATTTGTGTCTGTAATGTTGGTATGCAGATATAAATGTGTGTGTGAGGGTGTTTGTGTCATTAATGTTGGTCTGCAGATATAAATGTGTGTGTGAGGGTATTTGTGTCAGTAATGTTGGTCTGCAGATATAAATGTGTGTGTGAGGGTCTTTGTGTCAGTAATGTTGGTCTGCAGATATAAATGTGTGTGTGAGGGTCTTTGTGTCATTAATGTTGGTCTGCAGATATAAATGTGTGTGTGAGGGTCTTTGTGTCATTAATGTTGGTCTGCAGATATAAATGTGTGTGTGAGAGGGTCTTTGTGTCAGTAATGTTGGTCTGCAGATATAAATGTGTGTGTGAGGGTCTTTGTGTCATTAATGTTGGTCTGCAGATATAAATGTGTGTGTGAGGGTCTTTGTGTCATTATTGTTGGTCTGCAGATATAAATGTGTGTGTGAGGGTCTTTGTGTCAGTAATGTTGGTCTGCAGATATAAATGTGTGTGTGAGGGTCTTTGTGTCATTATTGTTGGTCTGCAGATATAAATGTGTGTGTGAGGGTCTTTGTGTCAGTAATGTTGGTCTGCAGATATAAATGTGTGTGTGAGGGTCTTTGTGTCATTAATGTTGGTCTGCAGATATAAATGTGTGTGTGTGAGGGTCTTTGTGTCATTAATGTTGGTCTGCAGATATAAATGTGTGTGTGAGAGGGTCTTTGTGTCAGTAATGTTGGTCTGCAGATATAAATGTGTGTGTGAGGGTCTTTGTGTCATTAATGTTGGTCTGCAGATATAAATGTGTGTGTGAGGGTCTTTGTGTCATTAATGTTGGTGTGCAGGTATAAATGTGTGTGTGAGGGTCTTTGTGTCATTATTGTTGGTCTGCAGATATAAATGTGTGTGTGAGGGTCTTTGTGTCATTATTGTTGGTCTGCAGATATAAATGTGTGTGTGAGGGTCTTTGTGTCATTAATGTTGGTCTGCAGGTATAAATGTGTGTGTGAGGGTCTTTTTGTCATTAATGTTGGTCTGCAGGTATAAATGTGTGTGTGAGGGTCTTTGTGTCATTAATGTTGGTCTGCAGATATAAATGTGTGTGTGAGGGTCTTTGTGTCAGTAATGTTGGTCTGCAGATATAAATGTGTGTGTGAGGGTCTTTGTGTCAGTAATGTTGGTCTGCAGATATAAATGTGTGTGTGTGAGGGTCTTTGTGTCAGTAATGTTGGTCTGCAGATATAAATGTGTGTGTGTGAGGGTCTTTGTGTCATTAATGTTGGTGTGCAGGTATTAATGTGTGTGTGAGGGTCTTTGTCTCTGTAATGTTGGTCTGCAGATATCAATGTGTGTGTGAGGGTCTTTGTGTCATTATTGCTGGTCTGCAGGTATAAATGTGTGTGTGAGTGTCTTTGTGTCATTAATGTTGGTCTGCAGATATAAATGTGTGTGTGAGGGTCTTTGTGTCATTATTGCTGGTCTGCAGATATAAATGTGTGTGTGAGGGTCTTTGTGTCATTACTGTTGGTCTGCAGATATAAATGTGTGTGCGAGGGTCTTTGTGTCATTAATGTTGGTCTGCAGATATAAATGTGTGTGTGTGAGGGTCTTTGTGTCATCAATGTTAGTCTGCAGATATAAATGTGTGTGTGTGTGAGGGTCTTTGTGTCATTAATGTTGGTCTGCAGATATAAATGTGTGTGCGAGGGTCTTTGTGTCAGTAATGTTAGTCTGCAGATATAAATGTGTGTGTGAGGGTCTTTGCGTCATTATTGTTGATCTGCAGATATAAATGTGTGTGTGAGGGTCTTTGTGTCATTAATGTTGGTCTGCAGATATATATGTGTGTGTGTGAGGGTCTTTGTGTC